AAAGCATCCATGAAGCTGAGCATTTGATGACTGTCCGTGGCATCGACCAGCAGATCTATGCGGGGCAGAGGATAGCTGTCTTTGGGGCAAGCTCGGTTTAGGTCAGAGTAATCGACACAAAGTCGCCAAAAAGCTATTGCTGGATTTTGCAAAGGTGGCCGGCAGGCTAGAAGTGATGGCCTGCCGACCACAAATAATGGCCTGCTATCCCCAAATATTGGCCTGTCGGCTACTGATGCCTGGTTCTTCTTGCTGTAATAGAGAGCAAACAGAGCAAGCACATGGCATTCACGGCATTGACCAACCGTTGGTAGGTGGCCCCAGCGTTCTTCAATCCGAATGGCATTACTTGGTAATGGTAGGTACCTCGGTCGGTGATGAAGGATGTATGTTCCCGATCGGACGGGTGCATGAGAATTTGGTTATAGCCAGAGAAAGCATCCATGAAGCTGAGCATTTGATGACTGTCCGTGGCATCGACTAGCAGATCTATGCGGGGCAAAGGATAGCTGTCTTTGGGGCAAGCTCGGTTTAGGTCAGAGTAATCGACACAAAGTCGCCATTTGCCATTGTTCTTGCGGACGAGGACCACATTTGACAACTATTTAGGGTAGTCGACGTTTTTGATGAACTGGGCCTCAAGGAGTTTGTCGACCTCTGCGGCTATAAGAGTATCGCGCTCCGGATGAAAGATGCGCTGCTTCTGGCGGTAAGGTCGGAAATGAGGTTCAATGTTGAGGCGATGAGTTATGAAAGAAGGGTCGATGCCTGGCATATCTGAATGAGTCCAGGCGAATACATCATTGTGCTCGGTCAGAAGTGCAGTAAGGTCGGGCTTAGCTTGGGGGGATAGCTGGCTGCTGATCTTAGCAATTTTCATTGGGTTGGTGGGATCGATGGGAATCTCAATGAGCTCCTCCACCGGTTCACCTCTGACCAGTTCGTCCTCATCTCGGGCGTCAAGTCCTTCAATGATCATGGCTTCTTTCAACTTGACTTCCTTGAGTGAGGCGACATAACATTCCCTGGCGATGGTCTGCTCTCCCCGTACTGTCCCGACCCCCTGGTCGGTGGGAAACTTTATGGCGAGGTAATAGGTTGAAGTGATAGCTTGGAAAGCGTTGAGGGCGTTGCAACCGAGGATGATGTTGTAGGCAGAGGGACAGTTGACCACAAGGAAGGTGAGTAACTTGGTAGTCTGCCGTGGGTATTCGCCAATAGTGATGGGGAGGTCGATGGAGCCGATGGAGGTCACCCGGTCGCCAGTGAAACCGACCAAGGGGGTTTGGAGGGGGGACAGGCTTTCCTCCCCAATTTTGAGCTGGCGGAAGCAACTGAGGAATATGATGTCAGACGAACTACCGTTGTCGATGAGAACCCGTCTGACCTTATAGTTGAAGAGAAGGGCAGAAATGACGAGGGGCTCATCATGAGGATAAAGGATGCCTGTACAATCGGCGTCTGTAAAGGTGATGGGCTCTGTCCACTTCTTGGGCTGCTTGGAAGGTCGGTCTACCGTGTCAACTGCTTTGTCCGAACCTTGCCTTATTTCCCTGAGCTCTGCTTTCTGAGCGGAGCGGGACGGTCCGCCACAAGCAAGGCCACCAGAAATGACTCGAATTTCACCAACTGGCGGAGGGGGATTACCTGGGGGTCGAGGCTGTTGTGGGAGGCGGTCATGGCCTTGGTCAGGTTAGGCTGGCTACCGAGGTGGGGTACGTCGGCGGTTGTTCTTGAGGGGCTCGGTTCGTTGCCTCTGTTGTGGGCGGGTGTCCGTAAACCGGCTGAGACGCCCTTAACGAATGAGGATCTCGACCTGATCCTTGAGGTTGATGCAATCATCAGTGTTGTGGCCGTGGTCCTGGTGGAAGCGACAATATTTGGACTGGTCTCTCTGGTTAGAAGGGGTCCGTGAAGGCAGGGGCCATTTGAGGGGGTAATCCCATTGGATTTGGTGGAGAACTTGTTCCATAGGAGAATTGAGGGGCGTGTACCGCTCGAACCGACCGGGGGGTCGTGCTGGTGCCGACCGGTCAGTGCGAGGAGGTCGGTCGGGATATTGGGGCGTTTGGCTGTTATACTGGGTGTTTCTTGGTTCCGAGTCTTTTCTCTTTTCTCTGGGGGGCGGGTTTTTGGATATTGGATCTTGGTGAGCGGCCAGTGAATCTTCGACATTCATATATTTCTGAGCTTTGGATAATAAGGCTGCCATAGAGGTCAGGGGGTTTTTGGAGAGGGAGAAGAGGAAATCGGACAATCGCAGCTCGGCCATGAAAGCCGTGAGGATGACCTTATCGTCATTCTCCGCCACTTGTAGGGCTTCGATGTTGAAGCGGGTAATGAAGCTACGTAGCGACTCCCCCTCGGTCTGACGGATGTTGAGGAGTTGGGTTGCGGGGCGGCGTTGGCGTTGGGCTCCAATGAAATGGCTGAGGAAGGAGTCGCTGAGATGCTGGAAAGTGGAGACAGAGTCCGCCAGTAACTGACTGAACCACAGTCGGGCTGACCCCGTCAGTATCTCGTCTGGGAAGGCATGGAGGATCATGAGGGTACGGTAGGTCTCCAGATGGTCGACCGGGTCTGTCGTACCATCAAAGGAGTCAATGGTGGGCATCTTGAACTTGGCGGGCAAAGGTTTATCCCGGATTGAGGTAATAAATGGTGAATTTGCGTGGCAGAGGGTTTATGCTGAATGTTCTGCATGACCCCTTAGAGTTAGAGCTTCATTGCTCGGAGCTCAGCGTCCCAGAGTGGAACATGGTCCCCATGGTCAGTCAATAGAGGTTGGACGCTGCTGGCCTCCCCTTCAGGGGCTGGTCTACGACCGACGAGTGTAGGGGTGGTGGTGGTGGATTTATGTGTGGGTGGGGAGGTTGCAAACCTTCCAGGTTGGGTGGATGGAGTTGGGGAGCAATATGGCTCGGGTTTTTTTCTTGGTTGGGGGGAATATCTGGAGGTGGTGGGGGAGGAATCGGAAGGTTCCTTTGGAGTAAAGCATTTATCAAGGCCTGGTTTTGCTCGGCCATGCGATTGATGCTGTTGGTAAGCTCGATAAAGTACTGTGGTGGGTTGTTTGGATTGGGGGGGTCGACTTGATGGTCGGCAGTATTATTGTGAGAAACCATGGATCTAGTAACCATGCACTTTGACGGGTAGGAGAAAAAGGTTGTTGGAACGGGGCCTCCGGCGACAGTGAACACAACCAGCACGAGGAGCAAAGCGTTCCCACAGACGGCGCCAACTGTTGATGCTGTTCGTCCCAGTGAATGGATCGGGTAGGTCCAAGCTCCTCAATCCCGCGTCCAAATGATCAAACCCACCGGATAACCTGCAGGCAAGTTCAACGGGGAACGGGGTAGTCCCCCAGATGAATTTTTATTTATATAGCATTACTCGTCAGATAATTGTAGTCATATAATTTTATCGTCTTTGTTATCATAAAAATAAATGACCAATATGATTTTAAAAGTAAACCATTTATTTTTATAAAGGTAAAGACGATAAAATTACATGAGTAGGAGTATCGATTGGTTTGACTTTTTCAATGAATGATTTCCACATTAAAATTTAGAAGATAAACATAATAGAACATCGAAATGAAATTTGAGATAGATCCCACTTGTCAGACTGAATGGTCAAACTTGCTTTAGGTGTAATGAAGAGAAGCGTAGGTCATGTTTGTTTCGCTCCATAGGTAGGAGGATTGGACTATCAATCCTGTGGGTCCTATATAGCCCATGTTTGATTGATAAAAATAGAAGGGAATTAGTAGTTTCATGGGACTATGAATACCCTCATATAGGGGGATTAGCTTGGCTAGATTTTGAGTAGGATTAAGAAAATAGTGAAGGGATTAAGTCTATTTTATATAAAAAAAAATTATTTTTTTTAATTTTATTTATTTTTACCAAGTGCACCTATTTGTTTAATATTTGTTTTAATTTTTTTTTAATATAGAAATAATTTATTTATTTATTTTATATAAAAATAATTTAGCAATCCCATCACTAACCATCTCTCATACTATTATAAAAAAAAAAAAATACACTTTTACTTAATCCCCTCACTAACAATCCTTACATTAACAATCTCTTCACTAATAATCTTCTCACTAATAAATTCATCCAACCTAATCCGCAAACAAACGTGGCATTAATAGAAAATAGAAAATAATACAAGTAATTAATGCAGTAGATGGAAAGTGAGTCCTTACTTCATGTGGTGCGAAATGTGCCCCACTGTCTCAACCAATCTTTCGGAACGAGACTTCTATTCCATAAAATTGGTAAATGTGAAATGAGGGTTAATGATCAAAAAAACTGTTTAGCTGTGTCAACAAAAAAAATATAAAAATAAATAAAAATAAAAAACCGTATAAAAAATTTCAAAATTGTTGTACCTCCTTTTAGAAGGGGAAAAAAGAATGGGAATTACATAAAGGAAATGGCACAAATGAAAAGCTTCATCTTCGGTTTTGGAACAGTAATAGGAAGTTTTGAAATAATTTGATGAGTTCAATTTGTAAGACATTGGAAGTATTCAAAATACAAACACAAGTTTAATTATTCATAGCAAAGGAGATCTGAATTGCATTGAAAATTGTATTAGTTTTTGTCAAGTTATAGATGCACCAGATTGATTATGCATACAAATTTCAGATTTGAAAACCCATGGGTCTATTTAGTCTATTTTTTAATAAATTGAAAGTTGATAATATATAAAAAAAAAAAAAAAAAAAAAACAGAAATTCAGAGCACCTCTTCCTCGCTATTTAATAATAATTTTTTGTACTAAACACTCAAGTACAAACTACACCAAACAATTGGGAACAATTTTTTAAAAAAAATTATAATTCACAAATTACACCAAATTGCTACCCATTAACTATCATTCATCTTAATTATTTTGTAGACAGAAAGACACATAAACAATGAGACTTTTGGGATCAAAGCAATCTACCTAATGTATAGGATAATATTTGTGTCTATTAGAAATTGGGAGACAAAATTACAACACTTTTTATTATTGGGGATTAGATTGACACAATTTAAACATTGAAGACCAAATTGAAATACTGTTATACAATGGAGACTAAAAACATAATTAGCCATAGATATATATACAACAACAGCAACAATTACAATTGCAGTTTACATGGTTTTATCTTCAGCTTCCCTTTGAAACAAGTATCTACTTACTTGTCTGTTTTCCACAATAAGAACAATGATTCTTATTCAACATACATTCAAATCATGTCCGTTTTCCATAATAAGAACAATGAGAACCCTTAAGAACAATGATTCTTATTCATCACACATTCAAATCAGGTTTTAGTATCCAAAAGGCATGGAAATTTTCAAATTCATCGGCCACTATGGAGTAAACTGCTAGATGCAGAGTCATGAAAACCCTTGAGAACAGATGAAGGAAATGACACAAATTCAGGAGACGCTTCATTACGAACACCAAGTGTACTAATACCCACGATATCAAGAAGTATATCATTTGGAAACAAGGCATCTCCATCCAAGTATTGCACCACTTGCCTCATACTAGGCCTTACCGCTGCATTAGTGTGCGAGCAAAACAGACCTAGCTTCAAAACCAATTCCATTTCCTCTTTCAAATATTCGCCTCTCAATCTAGGATCACTTGTCTCAAGAATAGCTCCTTGTTTCCAATTCTCAATAACCCAATCAATTAAAACCCTCTCTTCAGGCAATCTTCGTGTCTCTATAGGCTTCCTTCCACAAGCCACTTCAAGCATGAATGCACCAAAACTATACACATCGGTGCTTGTAGTTGCCTGGCCGGTTCTACTAAACTCCGGTGCAAGATAGCCCAGAGTGCCAACCACATTGGTAGTTTCTAGATTTTCTCCGTGATCATACAATCTTGCAAGCCCAAAATCTCCTAGCCGTCCATTTAGATCAGCATCAAGTAAAACATTACTAGCTTTCACGTCTCTATGAAGAACAACTTGCTCCCATTCTTCATGTAGATACTGAAGCGCAGACGCTACTCCTCTGAGGATTTGATAACGTTGAACCCAATTCAACTCTTGTTCGCTACCAAATAGGAACTTGTCAAGGCTTCCATTGGGCATATAATCATAAACCAAGAGAAGCTCTCCCTTTCGTCGACAATAGCCAAGGAGTCTTACCAAGTTCCTATGCCTTAGTCTTCCCATGCTAACAATTTCAGCCACAAACTCTCTCATCCCTTGTCTTGAATCATGGGAAATTTTCTTGACTGCAATTAGTTCCTTGGAAGAGGGAAGTACTCCTCTATATACCTTTCCAAAACCTCCTACTCCAAGAAGTTCTGTGCTTTGGAAACCTTTGGTAGCTTTATAGAGATCCTTATAGGAAAATCTTTGAGGGCCATATTCTTGTTCCCAATCTTCTTGTATTTCTTCATATTTTTTTCTCCTCACACAACAAACAACCCCGAATATTATGATAATCAGAATAATTATTGAACCCAATTCAACTCTTGTTCGCTACCAAATAGGAACTTGTCAAGGCTTCCATTGGGCATATAATCATAAACCAAGAGAAGCTCTCCCTTTCGTCGACAATAGCCAAGGAGTCTCACCAAGTTCCTATGCCTTAGTCTTCCCATGCTAACAATTTCAGCCACAAACTCTCTCATCCCTTGTTTTGAATCATGGGAAATTTTCTTGACTGCAATTAGTTCCTTGGAAGAGGGAAGTACTCCCCTATATACCTTTCCAAAACCTCCTGCTCCAAGAAGTTCTGTGCTTTGGAAACCTTTGGTAGCTTTATAGAGATCCTTATAGGAAAATCTTTGAGGGCCATATTCTTGTTCCCAATCTTCTTGTATTTCTTCATATTTTTTTCTCCTCACACAACAAACAACCCCGAATATTATGATAATCAGAATAATTATTGTTGTTACCAATGAGACTAAAATTGATATACCTGGTTTTCCTCTTGGTTTTCTTTGATGGGGGAAAGGAGGAAGCTTTGAAATTTCTATGCTCTGTGCTTTCCCACTTTTGTTGAAGCTCCACCCAAGAATATAGTGGTTAGTTGCAGTTGCTCCAGTAGAGGAGGAGAAGCCAACATACATAGGATCCAAGAGGATCGGAGAAAGATCGATGTGTGTTGACAAGAGAGGTCGATTTGGTTTGGGGCTTGGGATAGGAGCTAGTGTTACGTTGAGTAGGCTCTCCATTCCATCGTAATCTATCCAAACTTGTATTGGATTCCCACTTATGAGCTTCAAAGTCTTGTTTTTTCCTTCACTACTGGAATAATATGAAGCAGGCGCCGAATCATTGGATGTTAAGTTGTTAACATCAATTCCAACATGATTATTGTCTATGTCATTGAATCCACGGTTCTTAATAGTATCAAGCTCAATTGCCAACAGATGGTTTGAAGCGAGACCGTTGTTGGTAGGATTGAGGAGTCCCAAGTATTCGCTTTCAAAAGCTCCAGTGAAGTTCGTAGATGGTGAGATGGTAAAGGCAATTCCATGACCACTAACATCTGGGTATTCGGGAACCATAACGAAGACAAAATTGGTGGAAAATGAAAGGGTTTGAGGTAAGGAATCATTGAATTTTATAGGAAGTTGGTAGAAAGCATGGCCAGTTCGTAGCACAGAAGTGTCGGTGAGCTGCAATAGACCATTGGGATGGATTTGTGCAAGCCCATCAAGATGAAGATTGGCTCCTTGGAAGCCATTGTAGATGAATTGGTTTTCATCTTGAGCTAAGACCAGGGTTTTCAAGCATACATAGATAAGTAGAAGAAAATGAACTGGTTTTGGAGTAGTAGTCATTTTACAGATGTAGGAAAGCTTGATCCTTGCAAAGATGGATGGGCGCGTATTGATTTTTTATTTTGTTTTGTTTTGGTTTGGTAATGTTTTTCTTTGTTTTCCTTCATATTAGATTTTGTGGTTGAAAAATCAGGGGATTTTGGCAAGTTTAACAAGGAAGGAGTCAACAACCTTGCAGATAAGTCAACTAAAATCAGGGCAGGCCTTGCCGTTAGCCCATAAAGCGCCGCCTTAGGCCTCACCCATGTAAGAGGCCCACAAATTTGTTAAGCCTCGGAAGAACTTCCCATTTGAATCTAAAACCCGAAAAAATATTAAAAATATCAAAAAGTCAGCAAATTTTTAATTCATGCAAACAAATTAAAGATTTTTTTTCATTCACTTTATTTTTTGTACATTTATTTTTTATTTTTTTGTTGTTGTAAAAAGTCAAGAAAATCATTCCTAAACATATTTTTTACTCTTATATTTTATCCAAAAAGCCATTAAAAAATCTTCTTCTCAAATGATGCCTTAATTGCTTTTATACAAAAGCCACTTTTTATTGCATAGTTCTTTTTAATCGTTTACTTTTTTCTGTCTCTATTAGGGATATAAGCAGGTTCAGTTTGATTCAATTAGAGTTAAAGAAAATTTATCACTAAATCAAATCCTTCAATTTTATTAGTTTTTTTTTAGAGGGGAGGGGAATTTTATTAGTTAAGGAACCAAAAACAATTACACATCTGGTTCAATTTTATTGATTTCTAATTTAGTGTAAATAAGGGACTCAAAAAAAGCTTTAATGTTGTGTTTGGTTCAAGAATTTAGGGAGTGATTTCGAAAGGGAAAAGAAAAAATATGATAAAATGTGAATAAAATATACCTATTAGGGGTACTAACGAATCAATTTTTGATAGTTTGGTTTGCGGTTTGGACCAGTCTGCATGTCTGCAGTTTGAAAAAAATTGAACCCGTAACCGCCCGAAGTGTGGATTGCAGTTTATGTGAATAGGGTTCACGGATGTGCGGTGGTTCTAGGCGGTTTGCGGATTGGACTTTTTGTTTAAAATTTTATTTTTTGACTTGTTTTTCCCCATTTTTTAAATATTCTTTTTGGGTCATTTTCCCCTATTTTTTAAATATTATTTTGGGTCATAAAATCACATATTTCTCAGCATGAAATCATTATTTTTCAATTGATTTATCCCAATTAAATTACAGCCTATCTATCTAATTTACTTCCAGAAGGAAATAGACCATAAGCACATGTCAAAATCAGTCAATTGACTCGCATTCACTTTGCAGAAAAGGTATAAGCTAAACAAAACCTATAGTTGTTTTAATAAAAATGGAACAAACATCTCTTTTGAAAAAATGATTTTAGGGTTTGCTGAACTCACTAACTAATGAAAAAAAAGAATCATAACCGCGAATAAACCCTTTTACTCATATTATTACAAGTTACCAGCATTTATTGGGCTTTCACACTTGCAATGCAAAACAAGTTGCAAAACATTTGTTTACTTGCACATGAGTGAAAGAAGAGAAGATTACGATTACACACTTACAAGAAAATCTGACGGTCAGATTTAAAATAAAATAAAATAAAAAAATGTACACAAATTCGGGTGGATGATTATGGGTGAGGGTAAAAATCGCAACCCCTATCCGATGCGGACGATTTTCGCGAGTTGGATAACTCTATGCCTGGCCCTAATTCCTATATCTTACTTAGTTTTACATACTTTTTCCCTTTTCTTCTCCAAATCCATGAACCAAACACAACCAAAGGCTATATTTTTATCATAGATTTGGGTAAGAATTTAGAAAGAAAAGAAAAAAAAAGTGAGTAAAATATGAATAAAATATAAACTAAATTTTTTCTCCATTTTTTTTTTTCAAATCCTTATCCACCAAATTTATGTTCCAAACATAACATAAAAGTTTTGTAAAATATAGAGAATTACACATCGAGAAGGGAAATGTTATGCACCCTTTCACAAAATTTGTAATTTTACCATAAAATTTTATAACTGTAATGCCCCGTATTTTATTACTCGGATAACCTTACCAATATTCATTAATTAAGTCCATTTACAAATAACATTTCATCTTTGGATGAAATGATGAATAATTAAATATACATATTCCCTCTCGTTATACAATAATGACATTTACATACAAATAAAATAAATGCGTTGAGACTTCCAATAAAAGAGAGGACACTACTCTTTACAAAAAAATAGCACTCAGCCAAACAACAAATGAAATAGTACAATCCATCACTACATTACACTTATGAAATAGTAAAAACCATTGTTTGATCTTCAAATCTGAAAAGCATTCCCTGTACATATGTACAAGCAGGGGGTGAGCAACCACTAGCTCACCAAAAAATCTCATATTAAAACATTAGAAAATATGCGGGTACCAAAATACTCGTACATATACGTGAAATCATATCATGTCAAACCATATGATTTTATTACATAATCTCTTAATTCCAATTTATTTAATTAACCACAACAAGTTTACTTAAATAAATAAACATGTTTCAATAGCAACATGACATCCTTTTCAATTCATTTAATTATCTTAATATCAATTGAATCAAATAATTAAACAATTCATCAAATCCATTTTATACAGTCTTAGGAGATGAATGCATATGACATGTCATGCTCAAAATATTTTTCTCATATTTTGAAAATCTTATGCACAATGCCATTTTGAAAACACATTGATCCAACAATTTCAATAAAATTCCAAGATGGTAAATACGACTCAGGTAATCCCTAGGCTGGTGTCTACAAATAGACTATACAAGTACTACCAATTTGTCATTTTTACCAGTATTAACTGGAAGGCTCGACACCTATCATCTACACCACCTTTCAATCCCTAGGCTGGTGTTTGTAAGTAGACTGTATAACTACTACCAATTTGTCATTCTTACCAGTATTGACTGGAAGGCTCGACACCTATCATCTACACCACCTTTCAATCCCTAGGCTGGTGTTTGTAAGTAGACTGTACAAGTACTACCAATTTGTCATTTTTACCAGTATTGAATGGAAGGCTCGACACCTATCATCTACACCACCTTTCAAGACTTACCACCGTATTTACCCCAAAATCAGTTCATGAAAACTTGTTTCCCAACATTCCTCTCTCAATGCAAAGTTTTCAAATCAAATTTCAAAGCTCATCATTATCAAATGAATTGATATGTCAATGCAATGATTAATAATACAATGCAATATTTCTTCTACTTTCAATACTTCTACACAATATTCTCATTGTGATCAAAATTCTCATTTCTCAATTCAATATAATTTCTCAAGATGAATATAAATACTTTTATTCCAATTCATCCATGGGACAACAAAATTCCTACACTTAGAGTAACCTCAGCCATTAAGTCACTTTAAGACTATATCAACATTTTGAACAACAATTTTCAAAACTTCAACAATTCTCATATTCCATGAAAACCATCATTTATATGTAAACAAATAAACAATTTTTCAAACATCATTTATTTTGGCACACAAAATAAATATAACAACATCTTCAAAAATTGTCAACATCTTTCTTAAAAATCCTCAATTTCTAGGTTTTCTCAACAAAACCACTCATTTTCATTTATTGAAAGAAAGTCACCAAAAACATCTTTCTTCAATCCTCATAGTTCAAAATCCCCAATTTCTATTTTAAAAGGAACAAGAAAGTAAACCCACTTTCAAAAAAAATCTCTCATCTTCTTGAATCAACAATCAACTTTCAAAACAAATCAAAGGATGATTTCGAAAATCATCTAGATCTCACAAAAACATATATATAACTCAAAGGAAAACCCTACTTATTAAATGTTACCATTTCCATCCTACTATGTCAAAAGTTCTGGTATAATCTTAATAACACACTTTTAACCATAACAGATATAACATTTTAACCAAAACTAATTTAATCCACTAAATTAATAAGTTTATTATATTCAAAAAAATTGAAATTAATAATACCAAACCTAACTTCATATGTCTCATCCCTCAAACATAACTATATTTCGACATAACTATTTTTCATGCCAAGTTATTTAAAGAGGTAATATTTTTACCAAATTCTCTACCAATAACAATTTCACAACTTTTTCTAAAATTACTTAACCAACATGATATTTACATCAAAAATTATAAAATATGCCCAATAGTAACATTTTCAAGGTAATGAGTTTGAAAGTCCACATTTCACATTTTTATTTTAATAAAAATGAATACAACTTAATCATTAACATATCATCTTTTACAAAATATCATGAATATAATACTTTTAGAGCTTTTAATCCCAAAACAACTCTACAATTCCTACTTAAGCATTTACTCCATATTCCTCAACATTAATTTATTTTTCTCAAAAATAAATTCCAAATCAAAGATAAAAAAAAAAATCAACTTTATATTTCTCAAAATAAATCATCTAATCATAATATGATGTAAATACAATCATACAACTATTAAATTTTATTTTCGGATTTCTTTGCAAAATTATGAACACAAAATGATTTTTCCAAATCAACTTCAAAATGCCAAAATTCTTAACATTTTAACATAATTTTTCTTCTAAAAATTACCAAACAAAAATCTGAATATATATATATATATATGCAATACCTCTTATAATGATATGTTTTCTCAAAATAACCCTAACATAGCTTTAATATAAAAATATGAAGAAAGTCCCTACCTCAAATATGAAGAAAAGTAAATTTGGAAATGCAAATGTCACCCGATTATGAATTCGAGAACACCATTGCGAAGATCACGATGAGCTCTCCGACTTTCATTTACAATACTTTGTCAAAATCTCACTCTAAAGACTCCCATTTTAAGCTCAAAGATTGAGCATCAATAGAGAGAGAGAGAGAGAGAGAAAGAGAGAGAGAGAGAGAGAGAGAGAGAGAGAGAGAGCGCTGAGCTCTTTGCTTGGCAAAAGAAAAGAGAAAATGAAGAAGGAAAAAAAGGAAAGGAAGGAAAATGACGGCAATACAAAAATGGAGGCCACCCATATGGGTTTGTCTCCCAAAGCTTGATTTTTTCTAAAAAAACATAATTTTTGTAATAATACCTCAAAATTTTATCATATAAATTATAAAATAATATAATTTTT